CTACCTACTACACGGTAGTACGTACAGTAAGTAGGCGGAGTAGGTACGTTTAGGTTAGTTAGTTAGTAGAGAGTAGTCGTACAGTAGTAAGTAATACTCCTCCTCTCTCTCTCTCACTCACTCTCTCTCTCTCTCTCTCTCTCTCTCTCTCTTTGGCCTAAACATGGGGTTGGGGTCATGAATTTCATCCATTGCCATTATGGGTCAAACGTCTCTAAACAAAAAAAATATGAGAAGACTGACCAAATAAAAGGCCAGAATGACTGGAAATAGAGGAAGAAGGGTGACTGGCTGATTTCTGTGCCATGGGTCAGGCATCCGCTTCAATTTGGACCAGTTGAACCCGCTGGTCATATTGGGGATTATCCGATTCAGTTTTGAGGTTATGACCAATTCAGACCTCGAGCTTGGACTAGGTTGGGCACCATTTCCCTGTCCAACTGGTTCTGTTGGTCAGGTCTTAATAACATGGCGTGTTGTGCTTCTGGGAGTCTGTGCTTGTAATTGTGCTTCTGTCTGCAACTCTTACAGTGATCCCGATAATTGATTAAGGTAAAAAATGAATACAGCTGTGTATCTAGTTGGCTCATCTGAACTTGTTAAAGAAACTAAGTCACATTGTTTTTTTTATTTGGTCTTTGACTGATTGTCCAGATCTCTCAACTCTTTGTAATGGGACCAAAGGGATTGTTTGTGAGGTTGAGTCCTCCTTTCTCCAAGTGTAATACATTCAAGAGGTAGAATACTTGTCCTGGAATTTTTTGTGGACAGGGAAAGTGGGTATAGATTGATTGGCTTGTTTAGAACATTATGTCTTGCCCATAGGCATCAAGGCACTGAGAGAATGGATCTCGTCCCCGTGCTTTTGTCGAAACATATTGCATTTGTGGGTGTTTGAATGTGGCACCTTGAAAGAGCGAATGACCTTGATAATTGCTGATTGTGATATTATTTTACTATGACATGATGCGTATCGTTTCAAACTTATCTGAACAAGAAATTTGTAGGTAATCTTTTTTATAATGCGGAAGCTGTACACTCTAATTTCATAGTGGTTTGTTACTCATGGAAATATACTTTTGCAAGAGGTTTCCTTTAATGACATGAAATCTTGAAATCATTGTTGCATTGAGGCTATATCTTCTGCCTGCTGCAGGACTTTATACCTCAACTAAAATCAAAATACCATGTTTATGAAGATGCTTTCTTTAAAAAAGCTAAAGGTAATTGTTTTCATCTTGTCTTGTTCAGACTATGTAAGCATTTATTGCCCATGTAGTTACCTTTTATATTTGTTATTTTCAAATAGATGGGGAAGGTATGCTTTGATCCAATGGACAACGTATAAGTGTTGGATATAATTCAACAGTCTATGTAAATCCAGTCTATGGCAGTCAACCCAATCCAATCCTCCATTTGAATGATGGACATCAATGGCGACTGTAATTGACTGAGCTTACTATATTCCATTGGGTCATAGTATACTTTCTTTTGAATAGAGCACATCTTTTTAGATGCACTAGATGAGGTAAGATTCACTTTTCCATTGAGTAGTATGGTGTTTGCTGTTTCTGTAGAGGAGTTGATGGTTTCACGGGAGCATCCCATTGAAACAATTGGGATAGCAGTTGCAACAGGTCTTCTGCTTTTGCGAGGTATGGCCTTATCTTCATTTTCATTCTAATTTTTCAACTTGCAAATTTGAAGTTTTTTTGAGGATCATTCACCATACAAAACTTCCTTCCTGATATGGGTTCTTGCACAGCATAAGACCGCTTCCTCTCACTGGCAACATCAACTCTAGTGTCATTGTTTGCGTATGTAATTGGCAGTTTCTTTAACTTGAATTGGAAATTTGGAATTTCTCAGGTCCAAGGAGGTTTTTATTTCGCCATACATTTGGCCGCCTTCAAAGTGAAGAGGTAACCTTTCCGTCATTAAAGTTATGTAGTGTTTGTTCAAAAGGAAAGTAATACCATAGACCTTATGGTATATGGTTTGTTCAACTGGACCATATGGTATATGGTCCTGCAGCCTTCATCCACCCGGAGACCTTACTGATGCATGCACGCGCTATACGTGGGTGAGTCTGAGTGATATTTCATTTGGGCCCTCCCCAATCAATCTCCATCCATCTACTAGTGGGAATTGATGAAGGATGTAGTCTAGGAGTACCACATGCTAGTTCAGTGGACTGCATAGACTTTCCATGTATCAATGCAAGTCCATGATTGTCTAAGTGGTTCTTCTATTTGTTGAATTTCATTGTTAAGAGCTGAAATCCCTGTGCAGGCACAATATGTGAGAACTGAAAAGCGTTTAACTGAATTGGGTCTATCTCTTGATTTGATGAAGAAGGAGAGCAAGAAGCTTCTGCAAAGGGCTACCTTTGCTGAAGATGAAATGAGGCGTGGGCATGCAAAGCTTAAGTAGGCATGGCTTCTATATGTTGATTTTTAATTTTATTTAAGTTTTTTATGCTATCTAAGACTTATTCAAGTAAGACCATAGCACTTGATTTTTTGTTTTTTTGATAATTTACTGATGAATGAGTTCTGTTGTTTGTTTGGTTAATGAATCTGGTGGTGCGTGTTAAATCAAGGATTAATCCATTTTCAGGAATGCTGGAAATGAGATCCAGAGGCTTGTCAATTCCGTTTACAAGATGGAGCCTCAGGCTGCAGGTCCATATCTCTCTCTTCCTCCCCCCTCGGTTCTTTTTAATATCTCAAATGTCGTCGCAGTGCATCCTCCGTTGTGTAGTTTACTTGAGATTAGAAGATTCAAGTTTGTTGTATGTTTGTTGTACATACAGATTTGATGGATGCTCTACGGGTAATTCCTGGGAGGGAGGCCTTGAAACTACGAGCAGAGGTGAGTGCTCTATAATATCTATAATTATTTTGTGCTTGAGGCTTTCATGAGAGAGAGAGATCATGGTTTTATTTTTATTATGTATTGATTGCCATGTGATATACTTCGTGTAGTTGGGAAAAGGCTTCAATGATGATGATGATTGCAATATCATATACCATGAGATAGAGAGATTTTATTATTTTGTGTTGATTGGAATGTGATAAACCATGAGATATGCTCCCCTGATGAATGAGAGAGAGAGAGAGAGAGAGAGAGGGAGAGATCATGCTTTTGTTTTTTATGACCATTGCTTGTGCAGGTTGCTTCTATGGCTTGCCAAGTGAAAAAAGAGAGGAGTGCTCTAGACAAAAAGTTACTCAAAATCTCGGACTTCGGCATTCCCGTTTGATCTTTCCCAATGAAAAGCCATTTCCTCGACACAAAGGTCCTTTTGGTTCTCAGAGCCCACTTTTCGCCTCTGCAAGAACCGTCTAAATGCAACGTTTTGGGTGGGCAATGTTTGTCACTGTAAGGATAGATGAATTGTTTCACTATTTCACCAGCTTTGTAATCCTAATGAAATAAAAGCATGTATAATGTGGCCTGCGTGACCATATACTATACGATCAATCCATCCGGTGAGAGCTATTTGGGAGGATTTTTTTTTTCGATCTTAAGTTTTGGAATCCATCTAAGAATACTTGATGATTATTTTTCTTAAAAAATAAATATTGGATTTTGAATTTCTCGATGCTTAGATCTCAAGGCTCTGTTGAGTGCCTTTCTTTTTAAAAAGGCATGATGATTATTTTTATTAAAAAATGCTTGGACTATTCAATCTTGGGCCTTTTGTCAGGTACATGTTGAGTGCTATTTTGAACTAGTTTTATGTTAGTTGCTACGTTTAAGATGTGTGCGTCCCAAAATTTTGGGGTCCTACAAATGTTCTTAGTCAAAGGCAAAGCTCTCTCTCCACAAGCACATAACATACAGGAAAGGCTCATCATCGTCATCGTCAAAGCCCTTTCCGAATGAGCCTCGATCTACTCTTATTAGTTTTATAAGAAAGGCTCATCATCGTTATCGTCAAAGCCCTTTCCGAATGAGCCTCGACCCACTCTTATTAGTTCTATAAACATGCTCGTAAGCAGCTTTAGGCAGGGAGTTTATAGGTTGCATCTATACACTCACCTCGTGCAAGCTAGGCAGGGAATTTATAGGTCGCATCGAAGGTTTAAAAAAATGGCTGGGCAACCCGGGTTGCTCATCTGGAAAATTGGCTTGGTTTGGCTGATAGGTGGTTTGGATCGACGATATGGCCAAGTGAACCAGCCAATAAAAAATTTAAAAATTTGAAAAAAAAATTAAAATTGAAGTGGATGTGCCAATAAAAAATTTAAAAAATTGAAAAAAAATTAAAATTAAAGTGGATGTGGTTTTATAATGGAACCGGCCGACTCGTAAAGCGAACAAAGAACACGTTGGTTCCTAATATTTTGTGGGAACCAGGATGGCTAGTTGGTTTCTGATCCAAACCTTCGGGTTTTCATCATTTTTCTAAACCTTGATTGCATTTATACACTCACCTGAATGTCTTCATCTGTTGTGGCGATTATAAACCCATACCTACTTTCAATCGTTGTTCATCATAGTTGATTAATGGGGTTTAAACTTTTGATCTGGTTATTGCTCATATTATATCAATTCAAACATACATGGTTATTGTCCATATTATGTCAATTCAAACATGTATGATTATCATAAGACTATTTGTGCCTATACATGCACATTACACATTATATCAATTCAAACATGCATGATTATCATAGGGCTGTTTGTGCCCGTGCACATTACATGCCTCACATGACCTATCATTGTTATATGGACCGTATTTGAGGTGGTTAAACAATTTTCAGTGACTCTTGCATGTCAATTCATCATCCTAGCCAGGAAAAGAGCCCAGGTTTAGTTGGTTAGTGTTTGACGATTTGCAACGTTACATCTTAAGCTCATGATCAAGTATCTTAGGCTCAAGATAAAGTGCCCTCTCCCCCACTTACACCCAAAAAAAAATATTATCCTAGCCAAGGTTCACGATTAGCTACACCTCTTATGCTTCGGTCAAGCCGGTGTCTCATTTGTTCATGCTACACGCCATCTTTACCCTTCATCCTCTCCAAAGTGGGGATTGATGATCTAAATCACAAGGTATCAAGCAAAAAAATAAAAAAATTAAGGTATTTGGCCAATTTTGGTAGTCCGCCCGAGCATTTTTTAATTTTTTTTTAAAAACAGATATATAAAATCCCAAAAGAAAAGGGATTTGCTTGAAATATATTTTTGAATTTTCTATCATCTTGAAGAGGATTGGATAGTATTTTGGCTATAAAAGTTTATTTTTATATTTTTTCATCTTTTTTAAAATTTTTAAAAATACCCTTGAATTTTTTTTAGAGATTTTCAATTTTATTTGGACATTCTTTGTTGGAAAAAGTTTATATAAGGATGCTACCTTATAATGTAGAACTACGGATGCTTCTCAAAAATCCATCGGAAAAGGTAGTTTTAATATTGAAAAACCGTTTGATTGATCATCTTGATATCGAGATGTATGACTATAAAAAATAAAAAGATTTTAAGTCTAAAAAATAGTGCATTTTACAACATATTATCTGCACCGTCCATTTTTAAGATTTTCATATGCTTATAGATCTACTTGATTTTAAGTATTTTTGAAATTTATAATTAGATATAAAATAGATTTTGAGATAATTTTAAAAATATTTTATATCAAAATTATATACCATGATAAAAATTTGAAGGTATACTTCACCTCTACACCTAGGGACGCATCCGTATGG